TGTGTGTGTGTGTGTGTGTTTGTATGTGCATATGTGTGCTTATGAAGAATCGCATGGAGTTGTAGCCTGTGTTTTTCGTTTACCGAAGGGGCAGGTAGCGGAGATGCTTGTTCCCTGCTGTAAAGGTTTGTCATTGTGCCTGTGTGGTTGTCCAACATTGTACGTGTTTTTGTAATGCCCTTTTGTTGGTGGAGTTTTTCCACATAGCTGTATCATTTTACTCCAAGTATACGTCATTTTGGGTGCTGGGAAAAGGGAGACAAGGGTGTTAATAAGGGAGAGGGCCGGTTAAATCAAGAACAATACGCCTCCCCTCTCCCTGGTCGTTAAACATAATACAAGACTATAGAACAATGACTGGCCAGTTTTGCCTAGATTTATATTCGTTTAATTATTGATCGAATGACCTTTCCTTTTGTGAGTGATTTTGTTTTCGTGAACATAAGAGATGTTGCTTCGCCACCCAACTCAGTGAGAAAACGTATTGCGAGAATACACTTCTCTTTATTTATACTACGATCTTCCGCAGAACAATAGAATAGACGTTCACCTGAACGCAAGGACCCGTTTGAGACTGCCGCGGGCGTTTTATAAGTGCTAAAACTCTTTCTTTCTTTCTCCTCCCAGTCTCCTTAAATTCAGTGAATGGGCTCAATGTTAAGTTTAGAACTGCGTCACGCATAGCATATAATACATTTTTGCTTGTTTTGTTTTAGATGAAAGATTTATTCAACAGTGAACGAGGCTATAGAATTACTCCTTTGTGGATGCTGAAGAAAAAACAAACCCTCCCATTCTTGTGGGAGGGAAGTCATAGTGGGCAGCTTTTACTTTGGATTACTATTGTTGTGAAGCGAGATGGACACTTGGTCCGACTTTTGAAACTAATACTACCAACACTCAGAACGAACACCTAGCAGTGTGTCTTGTGTGTGAGCTGCATATGCGATTGCTTCAAGTTGGTTAGTTCTCAAGAGGTTGTAAAGGGCGACTGAGTTGCAATGATGATGATGATGATCGTGATTCAATCGGAAATGGACTCGGAGCCCTGTCTGTGAGATTGAAATTAATTAAAAGTTTTGAAACGTGACATTTCACTAATACTCAGATATTTTTTTTTAGTATCAGTTTCTTCTGAGCGAAATGCTCAACTGTTTGGATACTTATTTTTTCATAACGTTTGCTTTGCTCTCCTGAAATGCTGACGGCAAACACACAAAACAATTAAACAGACCAAGAAACAAAACGGTGTCATATTAAAACCAAAACCTAAACGAAACTACAAAAAGCCCCTTCTACTTCTTGTGACTCAAACAGCGTCTATTGTGTTGCTGTTGGGCTCTTTGTCATCACTGACGGATGACTGGGGTTCGATTCCCGTGTAGTGATGTGGGTTTTTTTCGAGTATCTTCATGTATCTGCTAGGATGCTGTATTCCATCGGCCCGAATTTACCCTGAGAATCAGGATTGAAACAGCCTGCCTCCTAAATAATATCATTGATCCAAACTGAGTCAATATGGCTGTAAAATTATACCATTTTGTTTCTTGTTTGTCCCTCCTGCCCTGAGAATCAGGATCGAAACAATGCGCCTCCTAAATGATCTTTTAGATCTAAACTGAGTCAATGAGACCGTACAATGTTGACATTGTTGTTTCTCGTGTTGTCTTTCCAGCTCTTAGAATTGGGGTCGAAACAGCCCGCCTCCTGAATGATCGTATTGACCTAAACTGAGTCAATGGGTCCGTATGATAATAACATTTTCCTTATGGGTGGTTGGCGGGTTTCTCTGGTGTGGTTTGCTCCTTTTTTCCTATCAAACAACTAACATCCTTATATCCCCTCCTTCTTTTTTTGTGTTTGTTTCTCTCTTGTAACACCTCTAATCTTCGGCACTGATATGACCTTATTGTGTTTCAAGTGCCATAAAACAGACCCCAAAAAATATTTTCTTTAATGATCTCATTGACCTAAATGAAGCCAATGTGACCGTAATAAAATTATAACATTTTTGTTTCCCGTGTGTCTGCCCAGCTTCAAGACCCACCAGAAGCCGCTGTCCCTGTCTGGCACAAGGAGCATCTCTGAGGACAGCGTCTTCTCCCCGGAGGCCAGAGAGGCCAACATCAGCGTCTTCCCCAAGTCAGCTGTGTCCGAGGAAAGCTTGCCCAAGTCAGCCTTCCAGGTGAGGGTCCTTTTGATGATGATTATTATTATTGTTGTTATTATTGTTATTATTTTCAGTGTTATTGTTATTATTATTATTATTATTA